TATTGAATCGTACATTATTTACTCAAATATTCTATTAAAATATTGGAGATTTTGTAGATCACCGCAATCCATTTAAAAACTATTTTATAAGTTGTAAGGCACTGACTTAACCGAACCCATAATTGATTGATGAAAAGTCGAACTGGTGACTTATTTGAAAATGGAATACTGTCACTAAAAATCTTACAAATAACAGCTAAATAATTAAATGAAAATATAGTAGGTTCAAAACGTAAAAACTTACAAGATGGTGAATGTAAGATTGTTTCTAAGGCAGCAGTTTTGAAAGTATACGTAGGGTTTCCTTTGGTATGCTAATCGTTCAAACATCTGCATTGACTGATTTCATGGAATGATACCTTCAGGAATTGAGACGTTTATAATGAACGAACCTACAGGAACAAAATGGATGATTTAATGTTAAAAGGGATAACTGTTTTACAATTTCCAATTACAAATTCTGTTATTATAGAAAGCCTACCTTTTATTGAGCATAGAGAAGCGAAGCGAACACTCCTGCTTTTGTTTTACAAATACTTCTCCTGAAAGGCTGAAGCAATCTGCAAGAAATTTTGAACCGTTTTACCCAACCATGGGAAGGTATAAATTTGAAATGTTACAAATCGGACCACACTTTTCCCTACGTAAATTTGAACTATAAGAAATTTAACATGGGTGTTGTGGGTTGATTGGTTACCATGACATTATTTGCGAGATGACAATAAAAGGTAAACAAGAGTCGCAACATATGTTTGTCAACGATTAAAAAAATTGCGTTCAGAGAAAAAGGGAAGAACGATCAGATAAATATCATTGAGCATAATTTTCTACAAAATGAATAACCATTAATTAGGGTCGCTGGGAATTAGGCTGATTGTCTTTAAATACTCCAAATGGTCATTCCATTTATGTGAACCAAATATAGGCATACCAATTTACCATTGGAGTTTGTATACTGTAAGTAATTTTTTTTATTTAGGTACCATCGACGTCTTTTAAACTAGACGATGCAGACTTTGAATAGGTTCTGCGTACAGGAATTCCATTTATGCAAACCAAATATATCATTGTCGTCAATTCGTTTACGTGAACCAGACGTACCATTGACTTTAGAACCTGTAAATAGACATTCCATTTGATCATTGACTTTGAATACTGCAAATATACATTCCATATAAGTGAACCAGAAGTAAGCCTACCATTGACTTTGGATACTGCAAATCTTATATAAGTTATGTCAACCAAATGGACCATTGATTTAGGAAACTTGCAGTAGCAAGTAAACAATTCGTTTAAGTGAACCATGCGTACCATTGACTTAAGATACTGCAAAAAGACATTCTATTTATGTGAACCAAATATGCCATTGACGTTGGATACTGCAATTATACATTTACGAGAAACAGATGTAGCATTGTATTTAGAAAAAGAATTCGATTGATATGCTAGCTCCGCTCAATATTGCAAGCAGACAACTGCATTGTACACCTAGTACTACTGCTCTTAAGTTATTTACTAGGACCTGATGATTGATTAAGTGGTTACAAGACGGTCCTTGCTTTCTAAAAACCTAAGTCTAGCCAATCACATTCGACATATTCCTCATGCCGATTGATAAAACACGTGTACGTTCTATCATAATATTCAATCGTTGTGTAAATCATAGATTTGTAAATCCAAGATAACCCTGGTATAAAATAAATTTTACCCTCCAAATTTCAAACGACGTATTCTCTCAATTCACCCTAAATGGACAAAACCCGTTTAAAAAACGTTTAAAGCTAGTATAACCAGCAAAACTTTAAAACTTAAAAACATGTAAAACAAAATCTTTTACTTGACAGAATATCTTTTTGTGTAAATGAATGTTCTGTTCACAAGTATTGTACCAGATTAAATTTGGAGTATTGGTGTTCATTCCCGAACAGTAAAAACTGTGGGAATTGTTTTGACGCAATGGTGGTTGCTTGTTTGATTGAAAAGCAACACCGAATAAATTGAGTTTCATTTCCATTCCCATCCTGTATTTTGAACCAGCAAGTCTATATTTGTTGTGGTGCTTTAAAGGAACTTTTAAATGCCTTTGGAAGAGATGTTTTTATGGATAGCTTGATTTTAACCAACTAACAAATAGTCGGATGTTTTATTTTCAATCTACATAAGTAGTAATCACGATTATTGAATTACAACCATAAACAATCATTGAGAAATAACGACTAACAATAGAACACAAAAAAACAAGAGTTCTGACAAGATTAAATTAATATACCTGAAATGGACATGTTGTAAATAAGCTAAAGACAGTAATTTACATAGACAATATTTTTCCATTTGTTACACGTTATAAAAATAATTATAACAATTGTTAAACTATTTTAGTATTTAACAAAACCTATAACCCCCCTATCTATGTTTAAGTTATTGCTTTCTCTTTGGTATTATAACATTGACTATTATAATCTAAGAGTAAAGAACACCACCCGAAATGTGAGATAACATTTATCAAACTTCAGCACACTAAGGATGCAACTTAACATATTTAACTAAAAAAAATAATATAATGTAATTAATACACAGATCAAAAAGTAGTGCACTTTTTAAATGCCGATTTATAAACCTAACTATGACCAAGAACAAGTTTTTTATGTTCTACAAATTTTATACTCTACAACTGGGCTAGTTTGTTATAATTTTTCATTTGTTAAAAAATTATATGAAAAGCGAGAACAGCAGAAACAATTGTGTGGCACATAACAGCTTAATGTTAAAACCTGGCAAAGTGCCAGCGAAGGCCGGCATGAGGAGAACGAGTTTATAGGCACTTGCAATAACGACTTTGCCAGACTTAAATTTTATGTTGTTTTTACAGTTTCTGTAACAAAATCCAAAATCACCGATAATATGATAGCCAGTTCTGCATTTTATGTGGAGATAAAATACGCTGTTAGCATTCGCTTCTTTATAAGAACAGTAGGATGTTCTTCACAGACTTTCATTTTGTTACATACTCGCATAATGAGTTGAACACAATCAAACTTAAATCCAAATTTTACCTTCTTTACAAGCTGACCTTATTATTCAACTTAGGAAAACTCGGTGGATAGAACAAAAATTTCCAAAATCGTTAATTATTGACAATTGAAGCAGGTCTACCTTATACGGCTTCAATCACGACCAAAATAGGAGTATAATGTATGTACGACTTCGATATAAGTGTAGGTAGAATGAATATGGAATTAGAGTTGAATATGAATATGATTAGAGGGTATGGAAATTGAGATGGTATGAAATGAGTATGGGATGAGTTGATGAGTACGGGATGGATATAGGATGGGTACCACGGTACCATAGGTTATTATACAAGATGATTAGTTACTAGGCACAGGTCTTACATTACCATGCTACATGTGTGCATACTGATTAAGACCAGATAATATCAGCCACAAATATAATCAAATTCAAACCAAAGTTTAAGCTCAAAGTTTGAATCAATGATTTGTTGAAAAATAAAATAAATTAAAAAATAAATGCTCATTTTTATCAAAGCGTTTCATATGACATAATAATTAAATTATTTCCAAAACAATACAATTGGAATAAATGCCATACTCTTCGTTAATTAATAACAAATTTTAAATTATTTTGATTTAAATCTTTGAGAGGAGTGTAGGAAGAATTGTTCAGCTATTCGCGAAATCCGCTTAAGCCTTCTTTAATTAAATCCCCGCGTACCAATAACCAAAGTGGATTTGAGTAACTTTCTTTTATCAGAAAGTGAAAATAAATGTATTCTGCTGATTAATTCTTTCCTTTTTTAGGTTAATAATTGCATATTTTGTTTTACCTTTCCTCGTCATCTTTCAAGCAATGACTAATTGTAATTTTTCATGTGTAATGAGTTTAATGGTTCTTTTAGCGAATTCCCCGTATAAGGAATTACTGTATAGCTATTTCCGTAGGTTTCATGGCCTTTGCCCCGGAACCGATTTACTTGACCGTTTTGAGGTCCTTGCATCTAGAATCTAAAACAACATTAAGAAATTTTAAAGTTAGCCGCCATATTGGAAAATGGTGGCCATTTTTGAAACGGTGGAATTGATAGTTTTTAATGTAATTAAAAACTAGTAGAAGTTCCCCATTTAATGTTTCCATAAATCTAATAGTTTCTGAGATACCAATGGTGGTACAGTTAAGTGGTTCACCCTGTATAATAAAACGGACGTGTTTAACATATTATCTGTTCTTTTTAAATGGAATATAATATTTCAGGAAATAGATCTTTTGAAACCTGTTACTAAAATTAGTAGGCCTACCTATGTATAACACTGCATTATGTAACTCTCAACTTTACTCAGTTTATTACCTAAACAAGATATAATAATATAATAACATTATTTCATAATAATTATTGTATTTTCATTTCCCAGAACTAGGAAGACTAACACTTTTATATAAGATTTAACACACGTAATGGCACATTCAGAGTTTTGAAAGAGAATCAGTTTCTCCTTAATGTCACAGAAAACATATACTGTAGTATGTTTTCTGTGTTAATGTGTGGGATAAATTGTTTTGTTGAAAGGGAACGGAGACTGGCAACCCTGTCCGTCCAAAAAACCTCCCACCTCCCACCCATTTTAGTCCCAACTCCAGCTGACTATCCTAAATCCTCATTCGTTGATTCCTTTGGCCTGAGATTGTAAATTTGTTTCTGCTGGCGCTGGGCGTCTGCGGCTGCGCATATTGTTTGTTATCATAACCTTTACCTTATCGTCCTTATCATTAGTTTCTTTTTCTCACTAAGTTATTCCTGTTACAAATTCTAGATTCTGTCATATACACAACTGATTCTTCTCTAACTTAAACGGCAATATTGACATTCAAGACTCAAAGCTGCCTTTGTAGAAGTTGGACCTGATACCGGTAATTTTTAGGTTAAAATTTTGAATTTTGTTTACAACAATATTCCACCTCTTTCAAACTTTACTCTGTCAATCTTTTTCTGATATAATTTCCATGACTTTGTTCATGACTAAGTCTTTAACCATTTCCCAATATTTTACTAGGGCTTTCTTTTATCCTAAGCTCCTCCCTCGGAAGATAAATTGCAGGTTAAGATTTTCAGGAAACCAACAATTGTAAGTTGTGATTAAAATATGTTTTAACAACTTTAATTAAAACTTCAAGCATTCAAACAATGCTAATTGTAAAAAAAAAACTGACGATACTTTTGGATTTAGAATAAAAATACTATTATTAAAGTCAGTCAAATTACAATTTCAATAACCTATAAATTCAGAATGAGGCCCTACACTTAACAGTAGTAGAAATCAACTGAGTTGAATGGTCTATTGAAATCTGACTTACATTTACTGCTTAACTTAGGCCTATATACTCTATTTTATAAAATTCTTGAAATAATTTATTAGTTTGGAATCATTTATTTGGGAGACTTATTTCTCTTATGAGATAACAAAAACAATTAAACTAGAAATGAAAGTACCGGTACGTCTTCATGAGTTTCGTTTGCCTAATCAGCACTGACATCCCTGGCCTCCAAAGTCCCCCCATGGACATAATTTACAATAGCTAATTGATTGATGATGGCTTCGAGCTAGGTTATCGTCAATGTTGGAAACAAAGCTTTATGATAACTTACCTAGACCTGGACCCTGTTGGTTTTCTATCGCACATACACACATTTTATAAGCCCAATTAAGTATTTGTTATAAAAGTACGGTAACATAATCAGTTTAAATAATAAAGAATCAAAAGAAAATAGAGCAGATAGTAGCCTACTGAACTATACAAAATGTTTAAAACTATTTCTTGGTGTTTTTTTTTTTCGCTTAGAAAGAATAAACTTAGGCCCTAAACTTAGTTCATCTAAGTAACATAAATAGTTAGTCTTAACAATCAAATAAATTGACAGATGTTTGTTTTTACTTTGTTCAAGGTTTGCAAGCTTCTCCAACATGGGAAAGAACATGAGATGGGTTTACGCACATTCCTTCAAGGGAGAACCGAAAGTTTCCGACTTTGAACTGGTTGAAGAAGATGTACCTCCTGTAAAAGAAGGAGGTCAGTATAAATTACCTATTCAATGGAATGCTCCAAACCCTGGTTGGGTTTTACCAGTTTATTTTTATCGAGCTTTCACATGCTGCTGGAAAACACAGTTAGTTAACAATTTTGCCTGGAATCAATCCCTCTTACGATAAAATCAGCAATCTCCAGATTTGGAAGCTACTCAGTAGTAAATCAAGTATGTACAAAAAATAACGGTAAAGGTAACAGGTGTAAAGGTTAATTTTTAAATAACACCTAAAACAATTTGATAAAAATGCCTTGTGCTCTTTTTATAGTTTTTGCCTTTTAAGTTATAGGCTTATCCTTTAAGTTACATGATCATGTAAGATATTCCTTATTTCGGCATTATTTTTACTCGACAGATCTTATGTCCATCTCAATCCCCTACAAAACAATTAGGCCTAGTATCTTGTAAGTAGGCCTATAGGCCTACTGGAGATTAAACTGCTTGACGTTAAATTAGTAAATAAGAGGTAGTTTTTAGTGCTTACTAAATAAAAATTTAATCAACAAATTTTTTTTGTTGCAGAAGTAAAGTTTGAAGCCCTGTATCTGAGTGTTGATCCTTACATGAGGTAACTATCATAACTTTAGGTCTACCAAATAGTTTTTACTATGGCAAATCTTGAAATATTGGGCTCAACAAATATAATATACTAGCTGTAACCCGCGGGCTTTGCCCCGTTTAACTTCTTAATTTTCAAGATGATCTCGTTCGCATGGCTCAATCACGTCCTGGTTGAAGTTCGTTCACTACGCTCACTCACCTAGGTTGGAGCTCGTTCGCTACGCTCACTCACCTTTAGGTTGGAGCTCGTTCACTGCGCTCACTTGCCTTCAGGTTAGCTCGTTCGCTACGCTCACTTGCCTTCAGGTTAGCTCGTTCGCTACGCTAACTCGCCTCCAGGTTGAAGTTTGTTCGCTACGCTCACTCACCTTTTGGTTGCAAATTAGCTGTTGTCATAAATGTAAAAGAAATAATAGTGCTGCACCCTGTTGGTAATCCTTGTAACTTTAATGCTATTGAACATCAAAGAACAGAACCAACTTGTTTAATTGAAACAGCTGTTAAGATTCAATAATTCCATTTCTCATAAGGTTAACATGGGAAACTCCAGAGCCACTGGGGCGGAGCCCAAAAGGATTTTTGAAATAAGAATATGCCTATATGTTAATCGGGAATGTAAGCTATCATCATGCCAAATTTCAGCCCAATCCGACCAGTATTTTTCGCGTTATATATATATATATATATAGTTTGATTGAGCCGACGTTAAGTCCTCATTCTAGCATGAGGACGACGATAAGTGCTCGATAGTGAGGACCTGCGGTGAGTACTTAACGTTCCTTCGTGCCGACGTTAGGTACTCCCCCCACCACACTTCCCTAGTCTCGCTTGCGTTAGGTCCTCACGCCACCCAAGTCCTCATTTCTATCATGTGTAGCAGATCGTGGGAATAATCCCTCTAGTGCGATACGTACACAAAGTGAAAAATACCCGTTTGGTTGTAGCTTTCTCAAGTCCTAGTTTACATGTTTTGAATAATGCATTAAGTGCATGCATCTTAATGCAAACTTAACCGAATAATTAGCTGTTATCCTTAATACGTGAACCATTAGTACATTTTAAATGTATTTTAAATGAATTACAGTAGTTGCAAGCCAGCAAAGCGTTGTTTTAACGATTATTTACTTTCACGTCCAGCCAGAAATGCTAATTCAATGTATAAACTTCAAACTAATTATCAAGTGATTGGCTATCCATATAAAATAATGTTAAAATAATTTTAGATTTTTAGATTTTTTATGCTGTATTATTGTTTGCAATAAAAAGTTGATACCCACGTAGTGTGCTAGAATTTTAATCGTTTTGCCGTATTTCAAGCCGTTTCCGAGATATAAGCATTTGAAAACAATCAAGCTGTGCCGCACCGGGCAGCGCCTGGAGTTTGTAACCTTCGCACCTATTTCAGAGTCAACGCTGACATTATATTACAACGCTCTGATATAAAAATGAAACTGTTTTGTTATTGGTTTAGGTCTGAGTTTTCAGTTGTCCGAGTTTGCTAAAAATTACAAAATATTAGGAAAATCAGTTGTCCGAAGTTCATTTGTACGAGGTTTAATAAATCTATATAATTAATACGCTAGATGAAACTTTGTCGGTTAAACTCCTCCGCCATTTCTTAACCGATTTTAACCATTGACGTCTCATTGGAAAGAGCGTGTTGCGTAGATTTGCAAACTAGCCTTACATTTATGAAAAAGTCCCTTGGGCTCTGCCCCAGTGGCTTTGAAAGTTCCCATGTTATCCTTATGAAGAACATAATTGTTTACATTTTGATCAGCTGTATAATTTAATAGCTGTTATTTATTTTTAAATTCAACGTAATGCATTGGATAGATTTACCGATTTTGTTTAAATTAAATATTTACTTCTTTAATTTACAATGTAAAAAATCGAGAAAGCCTGGGCAATTTGATATATTTTACCTCCTATATAATGAAAAACGCCTACAATATGAAGATTCCCACAAATAATGAACAAGGATGTTAGCCGAAGTGTTACTATTTTGTAGGAAACACGGACTCAACTTTATGATGATTGGCAAAGGAAAACACTCTAAGGCTAAATTAAACTGGTACGGCAAGGACATTAAATATATATGTTCATAAATGTCAAGTGATTTTAAAATAATATGACTACTTCCAAGAAACCTTAATGAAAACTTTCATTGAAGGATTCGCATTATTCACATTCATGGGAAACAAAAAAACATCTGAACAACATTAGGCCTTGCAATTCTGCATTTTCTTTTCAGGTAAATATAACTTCCGTTATAGCAGTAACTAGCCAAGTTGATTCCAATTGAAGCAAATAAAATTGTGACAGAGAGGTTATGCAGAAAATCAGGCAGTTCTTAAGTAGTGTAAACAAAATGTTATCGCTATAAAAATGACTGGAATTTGTAAACGTACTGGCGACAACGGGTAATACTATGAAGAATACATTATCATTGACGAAGATCAACATGGACAACCTAATGCGGCTATAAGTGGGAAATATTTGTGGAATACACTAAAAACCAGATCAGCTTTTAAAAAATTATAAAATATTTACAAGAAATGTTGATTATATGGCACTGTTAGGTACCTACGTAATCTATGAGTTGAGTCTTTTAAACTCATAGGAAATTATGACTTTTATTAGTTTTTAAATAACTACTTTACATCTTTGCAATTGCTTGATTTCGAGCAACATGTACACTAGTAACTAATAATACTTCAATAAATAAACTGTCCAAGTTTTCATTTGTCCAAGGGTGGTTTAAATTGGAATAATAGTATTTGGTTAAATCAACTGTCCTAGCTTTCATTTGTCAGAGGGTTTTAAAGAGTGTAAAATAATGTTGAAATATCATTCAGGGCCGGACTTAGGACTTCAGAGGCCCCGGGCGAATTTGCCGATGGGGCCCCCAGTATGATTATACGAAAACAAATACAGTACACAATGTAACGCATATTACCTACATGCACACTAATTTTAAATAGGCAATTTCAAGGTGAATTAATATGTAAACCTGTTAGAATAGTACCTATGCTGTATTTTGCATAAACTAATTTTATGTAATATTTTAAGTCTGAAAATAGCTACAATGTACGGTGTTATGTTATGATTTGTTCTTGTTTTAATTGTATTTATAAAATTTTAACATACCTAGCAGGTACATTACACATTTTTTTGCAATACAATGTAATATCCTTTGCAACAAATAATGAAAACTATAGATAAAATAAAAATAAAATAACACGTACTTGTAAAAGGTTTAATTTAATTTTTTTACTGTAATACACATTCTATTTGGTGCTTGAATTAAAACACAAATAAAAAATAACTAACATTAATTAATGGAATAAGTTATATTTAAACACGTGATGTAAGTCAGAGATAATGCATAAACTTTTAAAGCTTTAATATATTTTACAACTTACTATAATTTTACTAACAAACCTTTTACTAAGTTTATAAGATACAAGTCAAAACAATTTTAAAGTTTACTTTTTACCGTAGGTCTCATGGTAAGACCTAGACGCGGGACCGATTTACTTTTTCGTTTTGAGGTCCCCAGAGGCCAAAAACACCATCCGTTCAAATTCATATATATATATATATATATATATATATATTTATATATGTGTCCGTTAGCGCGATAACTCGAGCAAAATTGATCCGATTTTGATGAAATTTGCTACAAACGTGTAAACCTACATTTATTCGAACGAGTTCGCGAACCAGCATAATCGGACCATGGGATCAGGGGTTTATGGGGGGTTTTAAGGGGTAAAAATGGGTTTTTCTCATTTTTGACCCTAAAAACTTTAAATTTCTAAATTTCTCTCTAGACCATTTTGAAGAGCTTAAAAAAACAAATAATTTAGTATATTGAAGTTTTTTTGAATGTTCATTAACTACGGAGAAAATTAAAGAAATTGTGAATTTAAAATTCCCATGTTATTCTTATGGAGAATAAATAAACTGTTCTATTTTGCTTCTTTATGGATATATTTCAATCAAATTTGGCAATTTGGCTTATTTCATACTAAGCTATCAATATTTCAATTTAAAAAAACACACCTCAACATCTTTCCCGTAGCAGCAAACCTAACTACTCACTAAAATTAATGTTATTTAAATAGGAAATAAATCTGAAAATTTATAGGGAATATTTTTGTAGAAATCAAGCCGGGTGAATGGAAATTCGCTTAGTATGCAGGTTTGCTGCGACGGGGGTATTATAGATTAATCATTATAAGGCTTAGAACATAGTATTTCCCCTATAAATAAATGTCACTTCCCACTCTGATACGTTGGTCACGTTTGCATGGCAATTAAAACCCCCTTTTCCTACATTTCTTGGCTGCACTAAAACTATAAAACCATAAACTATGATGACTTATGTTTATTTTCATAGTGGTTTTGGCATGGAATTCTCGTTTGTATAATATGTTAAAGTCCTAGCATGAAAAGTACCATTAAGAACTTTAACGAGTTTGAGTTTTTTCTTGACGAGTAAAATGTTACAATACAAGTCTAATAACCAATCACAAGCTAACCATTTATATAAGTAACTGAAAGATGTTTAAATGTATTCAATATATCAGATTAATACAACACAAACATAACATTCAATACAACATTAATTTGTTCTTTGTAGTGATTGCAGAATTATTAATAAAATACAACACAATACAACAGTACCACAATGTCAACCAAAAACACACTGGGAGTAAAGTGATTTAAATTGTTTTGGATAGGCGATAAGGCATTGTATGTTAGTATGTATGTGTATGCGCGTGTGTGAGACAGACAGGACTAGACAGGATCCCTTATCAGCTCATTATCATTTACTAGCAGAGTACCTGTCCTTCGTACGGGGTTGGAATATAAGGCCCCGGCCACACGAGGCGGTTTAACCGCGCGAAGTTAAGCAGCGCGAAGTTAAGGGCTTCGACAACACATTGAATCAAATGAGAGTGGCCACACGAGGCGAAGTTTAGCCGCATGTGCGGTTGA